TATCATGCAACACCGTTACATTCATTCGATTAATTTTACAGTAGTTTTTTTCAACGTGAAATGTCGAAAATATTAACATTAATTATARAATTYCATTTATAACCAAATCGGTTTGGGTTATCTTGTAATTTGTTATTATTCAGAAATAATGGTAATATAATTTATATTTTAAAAAGTGAATACAAACGACTCGCTGTGTCGTTATTCTATGCCATCGCATATATTATTATTATTATATACACACTACACGGGCGGGTTGTTCGCTTTAGAATGATCGAGCAATTCGTCATCGGTACGATATGCGATTTTTAATTTGATTTCTTTTTTCGTTTACAATCCTGGTCTAGACACAAATGAGATTTACAACGGTAAAACGTGACGAGGGGAGAGAAGCGAAAAACAAATGTTTAAACAATGGACGTTTTATGGTGATATACGCATATCAATGGTCGAGTGGGAAAAAAAAATMAACGAATAAACGTTTCCWGCACCAGGTAGACGTGTGCGCCGTGTGCATAATATTACATTGTATATATAGATAGTCACCTCAGCACCTGGCTATCTCTCTCTACCTATATACATACAATATATGATTTTTATGTATAAGTGTAAAKTTGTATAATAATAAATATTATAATTAGGGCTCGAATGTTGTATTRTATAATATAGAAGYTAAAATATACAAAATATGTAAGTAGGTACCTACGTCAAAAATCTATGCAAAATATCACAAAAGTATTAGAAGGTGTTGCAATATTTCAGAAAGCATAAATGTAAAATACATAGTTTATATTAGTTCTTAACATTGTTGTATAATTTGTTAGTAAGTAATAGTACTAGATTTAACATATCCCTTATGTCCTTGTTATGTATACAAAACCACTAAGTATACTAATAATCGTTTCATTAGATAAATTTAAAAATTAAAAATTAAAATTTGATATGAGAAAAATGGTCTCCACGGTTGGCTGTTGAATGTTAATTATTGAACTAAAAAAAAATGATATTGGTTCCAGAGTTGAATTAATAAAAATATTTTCCATTTTTGTGTAATTGTATACTAAAATCCATAGATTAACAAATTATGAAATTTTTATTTTTATGTTCTGATCTTCCAACATGGTATTTGTTACAATTCTAATGCAATGTTGAAAAATATGCTACCCCAACATTTTCCATTCCTGATCATTATTTTATGACGTACAATTCATAAAAGGTATTCAGTGATGGTGAGGCAAGCTTGTGAGAGCTTATTCTCCCCTAAATAACTAATTCGAGGACAAAACCCACTCAAAATTAAATTTACATCCAATTATTATCTTAGATTACAAGAAAAGAGGGGATCTATTTGTTTTAGATTAATATTATATTACTTTTTTTTTCTGTGTACACTAAATTTTCTGATGAACTAGTCTAAAACTTATCACTTAAGATATAATATCGCCTGAGCGTGGTATATTAGATAATTTTTTTTTCAATACTATTGATAATTTTTCGAAAATTGGGAATAACTATCAAAAATTAATTTTTKTTTCATTTAGAGTCTTCGTCTTAAACAATWTTGAGGCCAGCTGTAAATATTTGACCGAAACAACGGTAAATTTGCATGAATTGTGACATTTACCCTAATTACCTAGCTACATAAACGTAACTCCAAAAATAATGATCATCTAGATTCTAAAGACTCGAGATTTTGCGTTACATATATCGCCGCCTGTACGGTGTGACGAATTACTTATATAGATATCTCCTATACCTATAACCTGTTAATATTTATTCTATTGGTACCTATACTGAATAGGCTCGCGTATGACTTAAAACGACACGCGATGAATCCGGACGCGTGCCGGAAAACGGCGAACCGGAACGGTGTGCAGCGGTGRCCTGACGGAAAACGCGCGATCGGGAAATTTGTGCATGCGGACTGCAGCAGACAGATGACGCGGCGGGACCGGGTCGTCGAGTATCGGTGCACACGCGAAACTGAGGGGAGGTGTGGTGGCAGGGCTCGGTACAAATGACTTGATCAGTGAGAAATTTCGTATCCCCAAGAGGGCCGTACAGTGTACACAATGGTCTCCGGGTCCGTACGCTCGCACGCACACCCGCGCCAACACACCCACACACGCACACTCGCACCCACACACCCGCACTCGCACCCACACACCCGCACGCACACGGTTGTAATATTATATTATACTGCACACACGTGTGCGCGTGTATATTATCCCTCTAAATAAATTAGCCGACGCGATCAATGAGCAAACAATCTGCGTACACGGTCATGATTCTTCCATGATGTATACGACGGATTTCGACGGCCGGTGCATTATATATCATCGAGTGGGTCRCCAATTTATTTGTATTTTATGTGCGTCATATTAATATGTATATAATATACCTCCGATACATACGCCATTCGGTCCACATAATGGTATTTACCTCCTAATAATATGTTTTGCGCCAACCTTTTCTCCATAAACAAAAACCGCATACAGAATTTGGGAAATCATTGCGTAGTCGTTACCTACTAATATTAAGATGATAGTGATATATATAATAATTATTTTG